GTACTGTTCCGTGTAAGAGTCAGGCAGGGTCGCATGTAGGGGTTACACACTTAAATTTTGAATCTGTTTATTTCTTCTCAATTTTCATTCAAATTAAACATATTTAAATATTTGAATAAGAAAAAGTTCATTTCTTTTGTATATTTGTGCTATTTACACTCAAGTTATATTGATGGATTTGGTTAAATTCCTATATAATATCATTAAAATTCATCCTTTTTGTATCAATAAAACACAGAAAAACATTATTGCATATAGTTTTCCATGATAAAAATATTTTCACCTTAGTATATGCTTTTATATAAAATTCTTGGTTTTATGTGTTTTCTTCATGCTATCAAGTATACAGCTTCCAAAGTTAAGCCCCTTCCTCACATTTAACTGTAAGAGTTATCTCCCATTTCCCATAATGCAACAGGGCATCAGTAATGGATGCCTCCATTGAAAAATGTTCTATCAGTGTTTATACTTCAAATTGCTGTTCTTTTTCACCTTTGCATCCATCAGAAAAAAATTTGATTAGATTAAAAGACTGTAAGAGAGGTATTGTATCGCATCTGTTGAAAAATGGGATTCGATCTGGCATGAAAGGAGAGGCTGATGTGTTCAGTGAAGCAGACCTAATATGTAAGCGTGTGGGACTTTTCACTGTTGAGGAAACATTTACGGTATGTCCCTATCACAGAGACTTTCTTGGTGTACATTGGCGCGCCCAGACCACTTGTCAGTATCCTAACCACCAGGGAAATGCCAAGCCGTATCGGAGTTTCAACTCTCTTATGTCTAAGCGGATGGTTTCCGAGTTTGGTACTTTAGTGCCTATAGGTTCTGGTAAGTTAATTTATATTCCCTAAGATAATTTAATCTAAATAAAAAAAAAAATCACAATCCTACAGTTTAATATCTTAATTTTTGAAGCTGTTTCCATGAGACAAGGCGGGGGGGGGGGGGGGGGGGGGGGTCTCTATATTAGCTAGTATATGTATAATGCAGTGATTTTACTATAAAATCCTATTTTTTAGCTTCTGATTTAATGATGCAGTGGTCATAAAAATCTAAAGATGCTAAATGGAAATCCTTTTATTGTTTGTTGAAGTAATCATGGTAATTAATAAATATGATAATTTAATTATCAAAAATCAGGGTTCTCAAATCCCATACAATCATGTTTAAGTGTATTTATTATATGATTTAAATGAATGTTTAAGTTTTAAAAATACATTCTTTTAAAATGACTAAAGTATACATGTAGACTAATTATGCATGTAAACATACTAGACAAATTGATTGATTTGATCAGCTCATGTTTTGATGATAATATTTTCGATTTAGATGTCAAATGCATTTTAGACCCAAATTAATACATGTAGTTCTTATGTGCTACATCTTCATAATGTATTTAATCACACACACACACATGTATATATATATATATATATATAAATAAACAATAAAATAATTATTGAAGTTGATTGCAAGTTAAGCATTGTTAAGAAAAAAAGGAGCAATGATAAATCTTTTATAATTAATTTTAGGAATATGCAGAAAATGTCATGGAGATTATTTGAAGCTTCCTTCATCAATTGGAGAGGTAATGAGTCCAGTCATATATTTCAAGAGCTCTTTCACATCTACGAATTACTTGTATTTTTCTGTGCCTTCTTGTACGTGCCTCCTTGTTGAGTGAAATAAATTGCTACATTGTACTTCCATAGTTGCATATTTGTGATAGCAACCACACTACTTGAAATTACATTTAGAAAAACCTAAAAAGAACCAGTAAAAATTACGGTACTTGAAAATAAGATTTTTTAAAAGAATTACTGATCTTGGGTAATATTCTCAGTATTTAAAGCCCATGTAAGTAACATAGCATAACATTTGGGTAAAAGATGTTTTTTAATGAAATGTTTGTGAAGCATAAAGTTCTAGTGGTGAAGTACAAGTTACCTTAATTCAGTTTTTACTTATCTAAAGTCGATTTACTGATAATCTGTACACTACAGTGAAAGTTTTTTTTTAATTATAAGTAGAGTAGTCTATGCCGAATTTAAGTTTTAGATCCCAAAATTTAGATATAGTTCTATTGTTTTTTTATGCGCCCGAATTTTTTCGGGGCGCATATTGTTTTTGTCCTGTCTGTTTGTCTATTTGTCTGTTTATCTGTTTGTCTGTTTGTCTGTCTGTCTGTTGTCAACTTTAACCTTTGCCAAAACTTTTGAACCGTAAGAGATAGAGACTTCATATTTGGTATGCATATTCCTCTAAAAAAGTTCTTTCAAATGACGTCAAGGTCAATGACCTTGTGACCTTGACTGTGACCTATATGCTAAAAATAGGTTTTTCAACTGTTTGTCATAACTTTTGAACCATAAGAGATAGAGACTTCATATTTAGTATGCATACTCCTCTAATAAAGTTCTTTCAAATGACATCAAGGTCAATGACCTTGTGACCTTGACTGTGACCTATATGCTAAAAATAGCTTTTTCCACTTTTTGCCATAACTTTTGAACCATAGGAGATAGGGACTTCATATTTAGTATGCATACCCCACTAATTAAGTTCTTACAAACAACACCAAGGTCAATGACCTTGTGACCTTGACTGTGACCTATATACTAAAAATAGCTTTTTCGAACTTTGTTGACGCCGGGCGCATAGTGTTTCACAAACACATCTTGTTATTTAATAAAAAAGGGTAAAGATTTGATTCGCTGTTAAAAATAATTTAATGAAATAACCAATTTTAATTATATTTTAATTAAGATGTATCATGAATAGGTTGAAGCTCCCATGGAAGACAACCACGGCAACGATGAGACAGATATTGCAACCTCTATCCAAAACCAGCAGTCTACATGTACTGATGGTGTATGTATACAATTTTGATGTTAAATATTAATTGATAGTGAAAATATTTAGACCTATTTTCAAAACAGTCATTCTGAGAATATGTTAATTCTTTAATATGATTTTATTACTATAATATCAATTATTTCTAAAACCATCATAGGTTCAGACTGAAACAGAAGATAATGAAGAATGGAGTGGTCGACTCCGTGCAAGAAGGACAGAGACCATATATGAAGTAAGTGTTGAACAAATTGAATATCATGTGAATGCTAGATATCTGAAGAAATTTTGTAATTTTATTTTGTTCTGTAAAAAGTAAAGACAGTAGTTTAAGGAAAATCAAGCCTGGAAGAAACAAAATATTTCAGTCTTTTGAAAAACAAGATGATCATAATTTGTTAATGCCCATTACTCAGTTTATTTATGTTAAAAATTATTTTTTAAGGTGAAGTGTGTATACTCTAAATTCATTGTTTTAATTAATCACTGTCTAGTTAGTGTAGTATGCCAGGGCATCAACGATAGTGGGAAACATTGATAATTTGCATAACGGGCGAAGCCCGTTTTGCATAAATTATCCCATGTTTCCCACGATCGTTGATGTCCCTGGCATACTATACTAACTAGACAGTGATTCCTTATGTTTCCATTTCATTGTGAAACAAAATTGTAGATTTACACTTTGAAAATATAGACTAATCGATTTAAATTACACTAGGACTCGCATGCCAATTTCAATAGTCCTCGCCCACTGACGTCAAACACAAAGGCAGCCGCACAAGATTTACATGCATATTTGGCCTCCTTAGCGTCAGACACATAGTTAGATGCGCACAGGATTTGCATACATATTAGCTCCTGACCTATCGACCTGCCTAATTTACACTCCGACAAAATTATCAAGAAATAAACTCCCCTAACCTTCAAAGAGTTATCACAGAGAAAAAAAAATTACAAATGGAATTATTGAGTGATACACTGCCATGTAGGATTAAGCTACCATAATGCATAGGGGTATCAAGTTTTAGTTTACAATCTTTGTAGTGGAAAATACAATGTATCTTGAAAGTTAAATTTTCTTCTTTGAAACAGTGCTCTAAACATAAAAGTAGAATTTGAATATGAAACTATACATTTATGTTTGAAAGAGGTAGAGGCATCTTTTAAAACTATAAATATCATGTCATTAAAACCCAGCCTTCTCCCTACAAAAGAGAACCATTTGAAGAGGTCAGGTTTGGTATTCATGATATGAATCCATAATTGCTACATACACACTCAAATGAGCTCTGTAGCTCACGTCTAACAAATATCACAAAACTAAAACTTTGTCTTCAAAATACATGGATAACATGCACAGATCTATAACAGGGATTGGGGGTTTCTCTCCATCCCACAAGTTTGATATGCTAAAAAGTCCTGGACCCATACCTGCATCATTTGTTCATATACATATATTTTGTTATTGTAGTAAGGAATAATTATATGATATATATGTTTAATTTTGTAACAGAGTGATAGTCAGAGCAGTGCAGTTTGTAGTCAAGGTTCTAATTGGAGTCAGGAAGAGGAAGCCCTACCCCTTCATGAAATTCAGTTGACTGATGTGAACACAGCTATTAACATCCTAAGCCAGGGTCAAATTAGTCCATTGCGATCAAGACTCAATACAGAATTGATGAATACTAAAGAACGAACTCTAAGGTAAACAAGATATGTTTGTAAAACACTTATAAAACACTTATGCCCCCACCCCACAAATTGGAATTTTTCTAAGTCCAAGGGGCATAAATCTGTCAAAAATGGTGCTATTGTACCAAAAAAGAACTTGACCTAGATATTCATCTGATAAACCTGTATACCAAATTTCATTTCAGTATGTGCAACGGTTGTGAAGAAAATGAACGGAAACTAAATGGGCCGACCGACAGACAGCAGCAAAGCAATATGCCCTCCCTTCTTCGAAGGGGGGAATAATTAATCACGTCAAGTAATAAAATTCTAATTACTTTTTTCATGCACAAGCAGTGAGTTTCCTTTGAAAATAATTTGCATGAGTAAGGATCCTTGTATATGATGATTGTCTTGCATAAAGCCCATTCACCATTAGAACTATATGCATTGTGACATTATCAGTAAATTAGCTCTAAAATTGATGTCATAAATGTTTGCCTTACTTTGCAAATCAATTGCAGTGTGACAAGTCATTATTTATTAAGGTCTTTTTTTTTATGAAGTAGATGCCTAGAATAGGAACATACTGAAAAGTTTTGAGTGTAACAACTAAAGCATACTGTATAGTATTTTTATACTAAATTATATATTTTACACCCCCCTTGAAAGAAAGAAGGGCATATTGCTTTGCTGCTGTCTGTCGGCCGGTCAGTCTGTAGGTCCACCAAGTTTCCGTTCATTTTCTTCACAGCTGTTGCACATACTGAAATGAAATTTGGTATAAACAATAAAGCTTTATCATAAGAACATCTAAGTCAATTTTTGTTTTGGGTACAATCAAGCCATTTTTGACAGCCTTATGCCCCTTAGACAGAAAGATTCCTACTATTTCCTGTTTACGTTTATGTTCTTCGCAGTGGTTGCAGATACGGAAATGAAATTTGGTATATAGATATATCATAATATGTAGATCAAGTTCTGTTTTGGCTACTAATCAAGCAATTTTTGACAGAGTTGTGCCCCTTGGAGTTAGAGAAGTTCTCATTATTTGCAGTTCAGTTTCTGTTCATTTTCTTTACAAAAGGGGGGGGGATGGTATATATAGGAGTCGGCTTGTCTGTCTGTCTGTGCAAACATGTCCATATCTTTCTTACAGAGGAACGTTAGAACCTACTACTCCACTTAAAGATTGTCCATGACCTAAGGGTGTGTCTTGACCTTGACCCAAGGTCATTTGGGGAAGAAGGTCACTGGAAGAAAAATTTCATAATTTGTGTCCGGTCCATATCTTTCTTATGGATAAACTTGGTAGGTTCTCATTTCACACAAAGAATGCCCATGACCTAAGGGTGTGTCATGACCTTTGGAGAAGTTCAAGGTCACTGGAAGACAATTTTTATAATTCGTGTCCGGTCCATATCTTTTTTATGGATAAGCTTGGTAGGTTCTCATTTCACACAAACATTCCTCATGATCTAAGGGTGTGTCATGAACTTGACCCAAGGTCATCTGTACATATTCAAGGTCACTAAAATAAAAATTGTATCATTCTTGTTTGGTACATATATCTTTATTATGGAAAAACTTGAATCTACTACTTCAGACAAACATAGCTTATAACCTGAGGTTGTGTCATGACTTTGTACCAAAGTCATTTATGCAAGTTCAAGGTCACTGACAGAAAAAGTTCATAATTTGTGTTTGGTCTGTATATTTACTCAGTTATTTAGACTATTTTTTTTATTAGGCTGCGCCTTCGTTTCATTTATAAAAAAATATATAATGAGCAACTACATTTGCACTAAAAATGTTTTAGCATTTTTCTCTTCTCTTAGATCCATAAAATATTCATGATTTAGCACCTCTGATAAACCCAGCGTTCTAACAATTTGATGTCGAAGAGCCATTTTGCAATATTAAGTACTTCAGAGAAATAAGTAATCTTCAATGTGCAGTTTTGCATACAGGGAGCATAAGTTTTAGAAAGCAACTCAGACCTCTAGTTTCATATTTATTCAAAATTATGCTCAGGTGATACAGTGACCCATGGGCCTCATGCTAAAATTGGACTGAAATATAATTTTGGTCTTCTTCATGTCATATTCAATAGGTGTTTACTCTTCTAACAGCAGAAGAAAGAGTATTTTAAACAAAATGTTAAATATATCTTTATAATTTTTAGATACTACAAAAGGAAAGCACAGGAGACTTGCACAGCTCTTCTAGATGCCATTGCTCCTCATCAAGGAGAGATACTTAAGAAGATGACATTACCAAATTCGGAAGCTAATGATGATGACCTTTTTCGTGTTGTCGGTGAACTGTACCACAATATCAAGGATGCAGATGTGAAATGTCAACTTTTGTCTCTAATAGTAAATAGATGTTCAAAGGCTGAACTGTTGACAAGGTTTCCAGAGGTTACAAAGCATCAGATAGATAAAGCCAGGAGACATGCTTTCGTAAATGGTCCTGGATCAGGTGTTCAGCAAACAGTATCTTCTCAACACAGACAAAGAATCAATTTTGCAAAGTTACAGCATGCAGTGGAATTTTTCAGTGATCCATCATTCAACCAGATTTCATCATACACTACAAGGAACCTAAAGCTAGATTCTGGAGACACCTTAGTAATTCCTGATGTAGTTAGGACTATGATACATTCAAATTTGATCAAACTTTACAACACATACTGCGCCAGTAATAACTTTGAGCCTCTCAGTGAGTCCACTCTATATGAAGTCCTAAATGCATGCAGTGCATCAAAACGGAAGTGCCTGAAAGGACTTGATAACATTGCTGTTGATGGATCTTCTGCATTTGACAGTCTGACTAGCTTAGTTGATAAACTTGATGAGCCTCAGCAATGGAAAAAAGAACTGAAGGAAAAGCTGTTCAATGCTCGACTGTACTTCAAGACTGACTACAAGCTCCACATCAAGCGGGAAGATGAATGCGCTTTCCACTGCTTACAGTATGCACTTAGTGACCCCAAATCAAGCCATCTTAGTGTTTCATGTGACCATGAGCATAATAAGACCTGCAGCAGGTGTAACTTATTTGGTGAATCTGTCACGGAGATCCGCAAGGTCATCATAAAGTCTCCATCAGAAGAGCAAGAGGTACTATTGCAAGATTTGGAAATGTCCATAACACAAGTAGAGGACTGGAGATCACACATCATAAGAACTGTGAATCAGGATGACGGAAGGGTAGACGTGCTGCATAATCTGAACAACAACCAGGTTTTAGTGATTTTAGACTGGGCGATGAAATATTTGCCGCAGATGTACCGTGAGAAAATGAAAGACTTCTTTGGACAGAAAGGAGTACACTGGCATGTGTGTGTTGCAGTTTTCAAGGAACAAAATGGAAGTCTAGTGGTAAGCTAATATAAATATATATACATGGATAATATGCAGTTCACCTACACTTTCTTGGAACTTATTTCTTGAATATCATGGATATCTCAAATTAATTCATTCAAACCTGTAAGAATTAAATATCATTCAAGTTTTAAACTTGATACATGCATCCTCTCAAGTGTTCTGCATTCCCATGGAGTTTAAGATTAGAACACTTGACTGTGCACATGTAAAAATTATCGGGTATACATCTATCAATAGTAATTAAAGTTTAGTTGTCTGGTGTATTATGCATACTCCATGTGTATAGCATGTGAAAGATTGGGTTTTGTAAATGAGAAATGAAGTTACTTTACAGTTTGTGAACATATGCCTCATACAATTTTACTCTTTTGTAGCACAGGACTTTTACTCACATAATGGATTATGTGAAGCAGGACTTCTTTGCTGTTCTTTCATTACTAGAACATGCATTAGTAACTATTAAACAACAGCTGCCACACATTACGGAAGCTTACCTCAGATCAGACAATGCCGGATGCTACCATTGTGGGCAGTTATGGCTCTCCATACCATCATTGTCAGAAAGAACAGGTAACCTGTTTTCAGTTATGCACAATGCATACCTTGTAAGCATCTGAAAATGTTGATGCTTTCATTGCATTGGAATTTGTTCTTTCTTCAATAAATGGATATCTTTGTCTAGAAAATTGTGATTCTTTACATTATCATAAATTATACTTCTTACAGGAATGATTTTCTCATTCTCCTCACGTACAATATGTTTATATGAGATTCATAATACATGCATAAAAATGTTTTCTCTGAATTTATTTTTTTTTCAATGAAAATAAAGTTTGAATTTCTTTTTGGTGGGTAGTCATGTTGCGTCTCTTTGAACATTAATGCAAGCAAAAGTAAAATGTTCTTGAAAAAAGCTTCCTTGAAAATAAATGTATGCTGTAGTGAATTTTTTTTCATCAAATAAAAATACTATTGTATGTATTCTCAATTTTTCAGGAATAACTGTGAAGCGTTTTGACTACAGCGAAGCACAGAGTGGTAAAAGCTACTGTGATGCAAAAATCGCCCACATGAGATCAAAGATGAGGATTTTTTCTTCAGAGGGCCATAATATTTGTACAGCTATGCAGATGAAAGAGGCAATCGAGAGTGGTGCAGGAGTCAAGGGAACCTGCATTGCTGTTGTTGATGTTGATGTCACAAAGCAAACACTCACAAAGCATTCTTGGAAGGGAGTAAGCTTTATATCCAATATAGAATTCACCACGGCAGGGTTAAGAACATGGAAAGCATACAAAATTGGAGAGGGGTCCTTCAAAGATACAGAAAGTCTTCAGAAACTAGGTCATGCGCAATCTACTACCAGTTTAAAGATCCTAAGTGATTTCAACCACACTGAAGAACATGGCCAAATTCATCTTAGGGCACCAGAGAATCAACCAGAACCACGTGATGATCAATCTGATACCTCAGCAAATGACGATGATGGTGTTGAACCTTCAGGAACAGATTCTAAGTTATTCTTTTGTCCTGAATATGGATGTTTGAAGTCATATCAGACTTTTGAGAAGCTGAATGAGCATCTACTCATTGGAAATCATGTGTTTAAAAAAGTGTCAGAATCTTCTAGTGACAAAGCAAAGAAACTATGGGCCGAAAAATGTGATACTGTGTTGGCAGCTACCCGTCCTAGAGTTGATCATGAGTCCGAGGCTTCAGACAGTGTAGATGTGCCAGTTCTAGGATGGGCTTTGAAGAAAGAAAAGAGATACTGCAGATTTTCTCAAAAAGTGAAGAACTTCTTGACCGAGTTATTCAAAAAAGGAGAAGAAAGTGGTAGAAAGGAGAATCCAACAGCTGTTGCTCTGGAAATGCGAACTATGATGGAAGATGGAAGAAGGAAGTTCTCTCCATGTGAATGGTTACAGCCAAGTCAGATTTCTTCATTTTTTTCTCGACTTGCAATAAATTCCAACCAATCAAATGTACTTTGTGTGGACAAAAGTGAGTTAGTTTCAAGTGACAGTGATTTGTTAGCTGTTTTAGGTGAACTTCAAAATGAGGAAGTTTTCCAAAGCATATGTGATTGACATAAACAGATTACAGGAACCCTACTCCATTATTTCTGCATTTTGAATACTAGTATTACTGAGACTCATACTTACTTAGACAGGCAGATAGGTATTCTGGCAATCTCTTAGCAATGCAATGTATTTGATTTTATGTTTGCTGTGTTATTGTTATTTGAGTTTTTGCAATGATATTTTGATGCTGCACTATGACTATTGCCATTTTTAAAACCTAAAGTATTGTTTCTGTATAACTGTTTTTCTGTCCCCTAGTCTGCCCATCAAATGCATATTTTGTTTACATCATTTTTAAAGAAACTATTCAAAGTATTTCTATCAAACTTCATCTACTGATACATATTGGTGAGTGTTAACAACTGCTTTAAACATTCTATTTTGTATTTATCTCATTTTCAAAGAAACTATTCTAGGTATTTGTATGTAGACATATATACAGATGCAAATTGTTGAGAAATATTAACTTTATACAAAAAGTATTACCTGACCTTAATTTTTTTTAAATTTTGCATTGAAATCAGTTTTAACAGAAATGTTGATGGTATTTTATCTTAACACATGGATTTATGTACATTTATGACAACTTATATCAATGTTTCAACTTTTCATGCGCCCGGATCAATAGATCCGAGGTGTATATTGTTTTTGTCCTGTCTATTTATCTGTTTGTTTGTCTGTCTGTTGAAAACTTTAACCTTCGCCATAACTTTTGAACCTTGAGATATAGAGACTTCATATTTGGTATGGATACTTCACCAATTAAGCATATACAAATGACACCAAAGTCATCGACCTTGTGACCTTGACTGTGACCTTAATGCTAAAAATAGTTGTTTTCAAACTTTCGCCATAACTTTTGAGCCGTAGGAGATACAGAGTATGCATACTCCACTTATATTGTTCTTTCAAATAACATTAAGATCATTGACCTTGTGACCTTGACTTTGACCTATATACTAAAAATAGTTTTTTGTAACTTTTTTGCTGCGGGGCTTGTAGTGTTTCACAAACGCATCTTGTTCATCTTGACTTTACTTATACATGTACTGTTTAAAAATATCAATTTTAAAGAAGCCTTCCAATATATTATATAAAATTAAATACACTGACACACATTAAGTGTGTCATAATTTTCTAATATTAACTTCCCCGTTACCTTGACCTCACTGTCCTAATTTTTTCCCTAATACCTAATCTTTCACACAGAAGCAAAGTAGATTAATTCCTTTTTATTTTATCTTAAAAGTGATTCATGGATGTTTTGTGGAAATGCGTCTAGTTATATGCAATGATAACTCCTCCTGAGTTAAGAAAAATCCGTTGTTTTAGGCTTTAGCTCATCTGATTTGAAACCTCAGCACAGCCTTTCTGTTAATATTTTGGCCATGTCATCTCTATATCATGAAAATATGCAAAGATTCCTTAGTCCTGTTGATTCAATTTTTTTTATTCAAATTGTATATCCTGCAGTTAGGTTTTATGGGCTAAAATTAAAATATTAAAAATAAATGTAGATTTTACATCACAGTGTTACAAATGCACTGGATTTTGGTTTGTCTGAATGTTTGTTTAAATTTTCAACAATTGTTACCATGGCAACCAGAATTTTTCACTTATCTTTGATTTAATACTTCATTTTTTCAATAATTTGTATAATTTCTTTCTACATTAAATGGAATCATTTTTCAAAATTTTTTTTTAATGGAAATTGTACATCATATGCATAGTGTTTGATTTCAGGAATTTTTGAAATATGTTAAAAACACCTTTTTTCGAATTGTAAAGTTTTTATTCAAAAAACGAAAAACGCAGAATTTGTATCTGATAATTCAAATCTCTTTTGCATGTAGTTTCTGAATTCATCAATGAATTTATGCATTCATTATGTTTTTTTCTGAAATTTCACTTTGAAACGACCAAAATTAAGGGTTTTTTGCCAAATTTCTCCATTGTGCTATTTATAGATTTCAAGATTTAGTATTACTGAGAGATGTTTAAAAAAAATAAAACTTTTTTTTTAAGAATAAGTAGACTTTTTATTATTGTTTTAGATAATAACAAGACTTTTTGAATAGAAATTGCTGTTTGTGGTGTATTTATATATCAAAATACACAAAAATTGTAATATTTATGCATAATTACTCATCGTTTCATGCAACAATGATATTCAGTTTGTTGCCATAGCAACAGTGACCAATGAAAAAAAATTTTATGCTGAAAGCTCAAGTCTGTAAACATACTTTTTATTTAAATCATGAAAAAAATCTTTCATCACGCTCATGTGCCACCCTCTGCCTGAATCTTACATGGAACAGTACTTAACATGGTTTACGAATTCTTTCGCACTAATAGAATAAGAAGTGTACTAAATTAGTCGCAGACACTGTTGAAGGTTCTGTACCTCTACGGTTTACGGTTTCGGAGGAGTAGCGATAACAAGGGTTTACACTGAAAGGGGCACTAACTTTTAGAGAGTTCAGTCTTAGGGGACAAGCATGGAATCTCTGAAATGGTTTTAAGAGTACATACTAAAAATACAAAGATGTTTAGAATTTGGTTAAGAACAAAAGAGCTATAAAAAATGCTTAATTTTACATATTTTGAATGACCTTGACCTTTGACCTTGACCTAAATTTTAAGGTCAAAGGTCAATGAATCTTTTGCAGTTGGCCCCATGTCTCTACGACTTGTTGTTTAAGAAAAGATCTTGATATTCGTAAACGTTGCAAACATTCAGGGGCACTAATTCAATATAGGAGTTTACAAATCCTTTCGCAATGTTTGATTGGAGAGTCTACTAAATCAGTCGTAAACATTAATAAAGGTTTGGAATCTCTGCGGTTTATGGTTTCGGAGGAGTAGCGATAACAAGCTTTTATTGCGAAAGGGGTCGTAACTCGGAAAGGGGTCAAAGCTCATATACGCAGGGTCAACTGCTAAAATCTTTTATGGAGTACATTCTTATCGACTAAAAATCTTTTCGATAAATCATGAAACTCAAAATCACACGGCGGAAAAATAATAAAAAAGAAAAAAAAAAACAGAAGGAAATCAATAGGTCTTTCCAGAGAAAGCTGGAAAGACCTAATAATAATAAACAGAACAATTTCAATAGGTCTTTCCACGGAAAGGTGGAAAGACCTAATCATGATGAACAAGAGTGCCTTTTAAGCTCACCTGAGCTGAAGGGTCAAGTGAGCTTATCTGATTACATTTTTTCTGTCGTCCATCTGTCTTTAAACTTTTCACATTTTCGATTTCTTCTCAAGAACCACTGGGCCAATTTTAACCGAACTTGGTACAAAGCATTTCTTGGTAAAGGGGAATTTAAATTTATGAAAATGTAGGACTAAGTCTTCTCATATGGGGAGATAATCAAGAAAAAGACAAAAATAGGATGGGATCTTTAAAAAATCTTCTTCTCAAGAACCACAGGGCCAGGAAAGCATCCTCAGGTAGTGTAAATTCAAATTTGTTCAGCTCATGACCCCTTGGGGGTAGGGTGGGTCCACAATGGATGACAATGGATGACCAAGATTTTACATAGGAATATATAGGAAAAAATCTTTAAAAATCTCTTTCTTAAGAAAAATATAATTGGTCATATTTATATAGAAGCATCCTAAGGTAGTGTTTATTCAAGTTTTTTTCAAATCATGGCCCCTTGGGGTAGGGTGGGGCCACAATGAATGACCAAAGTTTTACATAGGAATTTACAGGAAAAATCTTTTAAAATCTTCTTCTCGAAAACAACAAAAGCCATGATTGGTCATATTTATGAGGGAGGGTCCTCAGATAGTGTAGACTCAAGTTTGTTCAAGTCATGACCCCTGGGGATAGGGTGTGGGAAAAATGAAGGTTCAAACTTATAGGGAAAAGTCACAGTAAGTCAAAGAAATATGTAAGCATTGATCATTTGTAGATTCAAGTTAATTCAAATCATCTCCTCTTCTGCCTTTTCTGGGTAGGGCAGGACCACATGCATTTAAGCTTTTCAAAACTTTTGGATTGATATTTGTTTTTTCTTAGCCACAGTGCTCAGGTGAGCGATGTGGCCCATGGGCCTCTTGTATTAAAATTACCAAAGTATTTCGGTGATCGACCTCTTTTCAAGCATGGGGTATAATAAATGTCCTACCTGCTGGATTATTAGGAAAATAAAAAAACCCTCTGTAACATTGGCTATTGGCCACTTCATATCTCAGGCAATCGACATACTCTGAAGTCTGTAAGGCCATTGGCCTTGCTCAGACCTTCAGTCAAACAAGGGCTATTATGTCATGTCCATGTGCTTGCAACACTATAAAATAGAATGAATGAAATAAACATTATTGAGTTTGCATGCCTGAGTGACAACAAAATCAAATAGGAGTGGAACAATTTGAAAAAAAGATAATTTTTATATAATGACAAGTGCAAGTATTTAATTTTATTTGCACCAATCTTCCTACTTGCATTTGGGCTGAAATATGTATGCGCCTCTCGTTTTACAGTATATAGCTTTCTTTCATTAAACTAGTTTGGACATGAGAGCTGTGTTTATGTTTTCTATATATATTTTATGATATATATTATGCTGAATATTGAAATTAAAAATTTGATACTGATTCCTTGTTTACATAAATATGAAAAAAAAAATTAAATTAAGTAAGTTTATTGAATGTTTTTTTGCAGGAAGCAGCTATTGAATCCTGGAATAATTACAAGAAGAGAAATGATTCTGTGATAGTGGACACCTTTCATGGGTTGTTAAAATCAACAGTACATTGCCCAGAGTGTTCCAAAATATCTGTTACATTTGATCCTTTTTGTTATTTATCATTGCCAATGCCAATAAAGAAGGAAAGAGTACTTGAAGTGTTTTGGATACCTCTTACACCAGACCAAAAACCTGTACAGGTACAGTAATACTACACAGGCAGCTAATACAGATACACCTATTTTATAAGAGTTAAATCCTAAAATTTTTTTTTATATAAATTTTCTAAAGAACAACATGATGTAACCATTGACAGATAAGGAAGCATTAATATTGTCCCTCTCATTTACCTAAAGTGGAGGATATTAGTTTTGGTCTTTCTCTCTTTTAATCTACCCATTTCCCTTTCATTCTGTGTGTTTGTGTGTGTAAAACTCTTTGGACCAAATTTTAAAAGCTGTTGAGCTTTTGCAATTAATTTTTATTTATGAACTTTCTATGGCTGAAAAAGACCCCCATTTATTTTGAGTTCAAAAGTTCACAGATCAAGGTTTGAAAATTTTTGGGAACACATTCATTTTTAGCTCTACTGGTGAGAGACCAGAAGAGCTTATGTGATAGTATGTCCATTGTCTGTCTGTCTGTCTGTAAACAATTTTTCAAAATGCTACTCCTCCCACAGTTTTGGTCTGATTTCAATATAATTTGGCACAAAAGTAGACTATACTAAGATGCATAATTCTGTGTATCGGTTTTTGATTTCGATGAACGGTGTTGCCATGGTTACTAAAAATAGAAATTTCTGTGAAATACTTTCAAAATGCTACTCCTCCTACAGTTTTGGTCTGATTTCAGTATAACTTGGCACACAAGTAGACTACACAAAGATACATAATTCAGTTTATCGGTTTTTGATGAACAATGTTGTCTCTGTTACTAAAAATAGAAATTTCTGTGAAATACTTTCAAAATGCTACTCCAAATACAGTTTTAGTCTGACTATAATATAATTTGGGATGCAAGTAGACTATACTGAGATACATAATTATCAGTTTTGTGTTTTTGATTTTGATGATTGATGTTGCCATGGTAACTGAAATTGAAAATTCTGTAAAATGTTATTAAGAGCTACTCCTACAGTTGCAGTCCTATTGCAATCTTGCCACAAAAAGACTTATTCAAGGATCATTATTCTATTTATTGCTTTTGTAAAGTTTTAAATCCCAACTGCTACTTTTCTCTTCCGTTATTATAAGTACAAATCAGTAGAGCTACAGTCTGGACAGAGACTTCTGGTTGGATAATACAGTCAAACTTGTCATAGCGGTCACCTCTATCCAGCGGTCACTTGTCCTGTGCGGTCATTTTATTTCCTCCCAATGAAATTTCCTATATAAAGTAACTCTATTTAGCGCTCACCTGCGTAACGTGGTCAGCGGTCACCTAATTTCAAACGAAATCGCCACTTTTCCCTGTCTTTAGTGGCCATTTTGTACAATCACGTGACCTGATTTGGAGTCAGCTGATTCCCAATTTTTGTTACTAATGTAAATAATCAGTCAAATGTTGCAGGATCGTGAATAAAAATTAATAATTGGAGCAATTATTTTACTGGATAAGCATATTCAAGAATCATTTTACAAAGTAATGCTTCTATTTTTAGGTCACCTGAGTAACTCAGGTGACCTATTGCTATCCGTTTTTGTCCGTCGTCGTCCGTCGTGCGTCGTGTGTCGTGTGTCGTGTGTTAACATTTGAACATTTTCAGCTTCTTCTCTGAAACCACTGAACCAATTTCAACCAAATTTGGTATACAGCATCTATGGGTGGAGGGGAACAAAAATTGTGAATTTCATGGTCCATGCCCCCCTGGGGCCTGAGGGGTGGGGCTAAAACCACTAAAATTAATGAAATCTTTAAAGATCTTCTTCTTTACTCCTGGACATCAAGCAGGCAAACTGTTGACATGAATGTAATGAGCATTGAGTCCTCTACCAAAATTGTGAAAATCATGGCCCCAGGGTCAGGGGTTCTAGTGCTAGGGCGGGGCTATATAGATTATATAGTGAAAATGCATTATTTCTTTCAAAATCTTCTTCTCTGCTCCTGGGTATTAAATACACAAATTAAGCACATAGTTATGATGAGCAAGAGTGTCTCTTCCAAAATTGTGAATTTTATGGCCCCAGGGTCAGGGGTTCTGGTGTTAGGGCGGGGCTCTATAGATTATATAGTGAAAATGCATTATTTCTTTGAAAATCTTCTTCTCTGCTCCTGGGTATTAAATACACAAATTAAGCACATAGTTATGATGCGCAAGAGTGTCTCTTCCAAAATTGTGAATTTTATGGCCCCAGGGTCAGGGGTTGTGGTGTTAGGGCGGGGCTCTATAGATTATATAGTGAAAATGCATTATTTCTTAGAAAATCTTCTTCTCTACTCCTGGGTATTAAATACACTAACTAAGCACATAGTTATGATGAGCAAGAGTGCTTCTTCCAAAATTGTGAATTTTATGGCCCCAGGGTCAGGGATTCTGGTGTTAGGGCGGGGCTCTATAGATTATATAGTGAAAATGCATTATTTCTTTGAAAATCTTCTTCTCTGCTCCTGGGTATTAGATAAACTAAGCACATAGCTATGATGAGCAAGAGTGTCTCTTCCAGATTTGTGAATTTTATTGCCCCAGGGTCAGGGATTCTGGTGTTAGGGCGGGGCTCTATAGATTATATAGTGAAAATGCATTATTTCTTTGAAAATCTTCTTCTCTGCTCCTGGGTATTAAATACACTAAATAAGCACATAGTTATGATGAGCAAGAGTGCCTCTTCCAAAATTGTGAATTTCATGGCCCCAGGGTCAGGGGTTCTGGTGTTAGGGCGGGGCTCTATAGATTATATAGTGAAAATACATTATTTCTTAGAAAATCTTCTTCTCTGCTCCTGGGTATTAAATACACTAAATAAGCACATAGTTATGATGAGCAAGAGTGCCTCTTCCAAAATTGTGAATTTTATGGCCCCAGGGTAAGGGGTTCTGGTGTTAGGGCGGGGCTCTACAGATTATATAGTGAAAATGCATTATTTCTTAGAAAATCTTCTTCTCTGCTCCTGGGTATTAGATTAACTAACTAAGCACATAGTTATGATGAGCAAGAGTGCCTCTTCCAGATTTGTGAATTTTATGGCCCCAGGGTCAGGGATTCTGGTGTTAGGGCGGGGCTCTATAGATTATATAGTGAAAATGCATTATTTCTTTGAAAATCTTCTTCTCTGCTCCTGGGTATTTAATAAACAAATAAGCACATAGTTATGATGAACAAGAGTGCCTCTTCCAAAATTTTGAATTTTATGGCCCCAGGGTCAGGGGTTCTGGTGTTAGGGCGGGGCTCTATAGATTATATAGTGAAAATGCATTATTTCTTAGAAAATCTTTTTCTCTGCTCCTGGGTATTAAATACACTAAATAAGCACATAGTTATGATGAACAAGAGTGCCTCTTCCAAAATTGTGAATTTTATGGCCCCAGGGTCAGGGGTTCTGGTGTTAGGGCGGGGCTCTATAGATTATATAGTGAAAATGCATTATTTCTTAGAAAATCTTCTTCTCTGCTCCTGGGTATTAGATTAACTAACTAAGCACATAGTTATGATGAGCAAGAGTGCCTCTTCCAGATTTGTGAATTTTATTGCCCCAGGGTCAGGGGTTCTGGTGTTAGGGCGGGGCTCTATAGATTATATAGTGAAAATGCATTATTTCTTTGAAAATCTTCTTCTCTGCTCCTGGGTATTTAATAAACAAATTAAGCACATAGTTATGATGAGCAAGAGTGCCTCTTCCAGATTTGTGAATTTTATGCCCCCAGGGTCAGGGGTTCTGGTGTTAGGGCGGGGCTCTATAGATTATATAGTGAAAATGCATTATTTCTTTGAAAATCTTCTTCTCTGCTCCTGGGTATTAAATACACTAACTAAGCACATAGTTATGATGAGCAAGAGTGCCTCTTCCAAAATTATGAATTTTATTGCCCCAGGGTCAGGGATTCTGGTGTTAGGGCGGGGCTCTATAGATTATATAGTAAAAATGCATTATTTCTTTGAAAATCTTCTTCTCTGCTCCTGGGTATTAAATACACTAAATAAGCACATAGTTATGATGAGCAAGAGTGCCTCTTCCAAAATTTTGAATTTTATGGCCCCAGGGTCAGGGGTTCTGGTGTTAGGGCGGGGCTCTATAGATAATATAGTGAAAATGCATTATTTCTTTGAAAATCTTCTCTGCTCCTGGGTATTAGATTAACTAACTAAGCACATAGTTATGATGAGCAAGAGTGCCTCTTCCAGATTTGTGAATTTTATTGCCCCAGGGTCAGGGGTTCTGGTGTTAAGTCGGGGCTCTATTGATTATATAGTAAAAATACATTTATTCTTTGTAAATATTTTTCTTTGCTTTTGGGTTTTAAGCCAATGATCCAAGTATATATATATTTATGATAAAGAAAGGTGCATCTAGAAAAGTGGTTATTAATGCCCCCAGGGTCAAAGGGGGGGGGGGGGTTACATAGCCTGAAAATAAATTAATGCTTTGAAATCTGCTCTTTGGTATTAATCAAGCATTTTATGATAAAATTTGCAAAATTTTGAAATATATGGCCCTGGGTCAGTGGTTCCTTTGGGGTGAGGTGCACAACTGGTTATAAAGTGGAAGTGCATTTTCTCTTTGTTACTCTGATCTACCTCTGGGTATTAAGTAAATAGAGTAAGCATGCTAAGTTAATAATTATGATATGCAATGGTGCCTCTTTCAAAATTGTAAATTGGGAATTTCATGGCCTCCGGTTTAAACACGAACCAAATTTAATTGTTTGAAAGTTGTTACACAATACTCAGGTGACCTATAAGGCCCATGGGCCTCTTGTTTACAAAACACGATCAACTATGATTATGACGAAAAAAAGTTAACAGGGCAAAAAAACGAATACTAGTATTATCAATAACTGATTATCAGGGTCTTATAACTTCTGGATTTTTAATTAAGTTTTAAAAAAGAACAACATTTGAACTATATTAATCTATTAATGACTATGATATTTTTGTTTACTAGGCCTATATATTTACAGTGTCGATATCGCGCATGATCTGAAAGTTGTAAATTGTATTACACTTGATAGGCATTTTAATTTTCACACCTTGGAAACTTGC